GACCTTTCCACCCTTGCCATGTGTAGGCATACTGATAAGTTCTCTACTTTTAATAATGAGACTTAGCGGTGTAGAAACACAGTTATAGAGATCTACAGCTTCACCTCCTTATTTTAAGGTTAACATTTATGTACATGATGTTAATATCTCCTGGTTACTGAAGAAATGTGCCAGACATTGTATTTGGTATTTTATGTATATTATCTCTAATACTGTGAAGTTGGTGGTATTGTATCCATTTTTACAAAAAGGAAACCAAGGCCCTGAAGGTTTACAGTATTAACCTAAGGACATAATGACAGTAAATGGTACATCCTGGCTTCACATCTGCATCTGTGTAGATATAATACTTATATTGTCTTTTACAATATGCTGCCCTCTGGTTTTTCATTTTATGAAAACAAGAGACCCTGTGTAGAAATACAGAGTATTTCAATCTCTAGGCTAGAGAAAATCTACAAGGAGAGAATTGGATGATCACTGAGAGGTTAAAATTTCTTTAGTTTCAGAAAGATACAATCCCTGATATTCTGTATATCGATCACCACCTCCTCTCACATCCCCACAGACTTTAATGACTTAAAACAGCAAGCATTTATTCTTTTGATTCTGTGGTCAGCAGCATGATTCTTCTGGTCTGGATCAGCTTGGTAGGTCTTTGCAGTCTGGTGGCTTGGCTGGGCTTTGTTGGTCTGGGGGGCGGGGTGCTCAGGTGAGTGAACTAGTTTCTGCTCCATGTAGCCTTTCACCCTGCAGTAAGGGAGCCCATAGAGTGGTCTCAGGGTTCCAGACAGCAGCAAGCAAAAGTGATCTCTGGCTTGTAAATGCTTCTGAAACCTCTGCTCACATTGTATCTGCTAGTGTCCCGTTGGCCAAAAGAAGTCTCACAGCCAAGCCAGGGTCAGTGTGGGGGAGGGGACCACTTGAGAGCAGGCGGAGAGGGAGATGGGAAGAGGTGACGGCCATTACAGCATGCTTCTGCTTCTGCCAGAAATGGAAAGCGTGGTACCGACTCTCCCTCACTTTAAAAGGATTATACGCAGTCAATTAGATGGTAAGGGTGTGCACGTTCAATGGACAACTGGAGCATAAAGCACTGTCCGATGAGTGTCATATAAAATGATGTGATTTAGACAGGGAGATAATCATCTCAGCCTGAGTCACTCAGGGACTTGATCCCACAAGAGATGACTAGAGCTGGGCACCAAGGGCGGTGTGGAATTGTAGTTAGCAGCAGGAGATAAAGGTAAAAGTGATAGCGTGGAAGAGATGAGTGTTGCAGAGTACAAGGCACATTCAAGTTCGGGTGAAATGTAGATGATAGGGCTGGAAATTTGGTACCTGATAATGTGAGATCTTAAATGTCAGGCTAAATAATTTCCACATTTATTAAAGTTTTGCCTGATTTTTGCACTCAGTGTTATTCTTTGTATTAATTCCATACAAAGAACAAAATGTGGGTTTTTAATCTATGTCTCTTTTCTAACATTTAAGAGTTTTGTAAAATGAATATTTAATCAGTGGGTATAAATTGAAGTAAAAAGCAGAGAGATGATCATAATATGGCTTTCTTTAGAGACCACAAAAAAAATGAGTTCTGATAAAATGCCATCGGATCTGGCAACTTAGAGTCACCAGTAACATCTGAGAAACGGTCATACTGGAAGCCAAATTGCAAGATGTCAAGGAATAACAGAGTTGACAGTGAAAGGAAGATAGCAGTTGAGTCCAAGGCAGCTTTGACAGTTGAGGGTAGAAGTGTTTTAGTGGGAGAGGATAATACAGTCAGTTTTGCTGGCAAGGATGATGCCGATGGTAAAGAATTGAACATCTGAGGTAGCAAGTATTTAATTGATAGAACAAAGCCCAAATATAGTGGGAGAGGATAATACAGTCAGTTTTGCTGGCAAGGATGATGCTGATGGTAAAGAATTGAACATCTGAGGTAGCAAGTATTTAATTGATAGAACAAAGCCCAAATAAGACTAGATTGGATGGAATTAAGACTATGGGAGTGCTTTAGATAAAAGAATTTGGCATTAGTAGGTGAAGTTAAACATGCAGATATCCCATGACCCAGTAAAATTATTTCTTTAGAAAAGGCAGAGTGTTTTGTTCTTCCAAGAGACTGTTCTGCATCACCCAACTACAGGTGAAAATAGGAAACCATCTAGGTAGAATGGGAATATCATGAATCGTATAATAATTCATATCAAACTGGTGGCTCACAGACAATCTACGGGCTGTGTTTAGACAAAAATATATTTTTTGTTAGACCCTCAGACTGAGAGATTTTATATAAAAATGTCCAGCTCCTTTGGCAGAACAAAAGATTTGACCAAACTGGGCCTTTGTTTCCTGATGTTAATAATGAGCTGGAGCTGAGTTACAACTGACTCTTTAAATGGGGCACTGACTCCTTAAGTGGAGAGCTTAAAAGCTCTTCAGTTTAACGTAGTCCCCACCACTCCTTATTACCTGGCCCATCGTGAGACAAGGTATGGGTTAACATTCCCCTAACAGTTGCACTGGTGCATGTATTACAGTAGTGGAACACTGCTTTGTACCCATGTTCTCAACTATAGGGGGGGAGTAAAAGTAATCCAAGAGGATTTCAAGAAAAATAGGACAGTATATTTCAAGGACTGAATGTTGTGCAAAATGTATTGCTGTTGGTAGAACGCAACTTAAGATTTTTCTACCTACCTGGCTTTGATAGGCTTTTGGATTTGTGAGTGCTGGTTAGAGAGCATAGCGGTTCACTAGATTCAACTCCTGGTTTTAGGAACAATAATTTCCTTTCCCTCCTTCACTGTGGCAAAGGGAAAAATGTGGCCAGTGTGTTTTTAATATATGTGGGTCATGACAACATTGCTTCCTGGTGTAAATACTTGTTCTCACATGTGTGCAGCAAGGAATCACTACAAGATTTGTGCACCTAGATGTTTCTTTAGATACCACTGAGATAAGGAAATCTAGAAAGATACCTGAAAAAAAGTATACAGTAAAACAAACAAACAAACAAAAAACTTTGCTTAATAAAGGATATGTCCTTCCGCAGTGACATAATAGGATACATAGGACACTGTTCAAAAAGTTCTTAGAAAGGTTTATATTATATTTTAATTCTATTTTTCTTCCAAGATCTATATTTTTATTAAAGTAATATATGCATTAAGTCAACGCATATGAAATGCTGTTTTGTTTGTCAAAAACCAGTAGAATGTCAGCAATTTCATATGGCTCTATTTAAAAAAGTATTCGAACAGTCAAATAGTATTGCAAGTCTGGCACCCAAAAGCAGGAGTCTCCTTTCCTCTTCCTCCCCTTTCCATGTCCTCCTTCAAGAGACAACCACTTTAGCTCTGGTTGGCAGTATCTTCTGATAGTTACAGAATATAACTTTCTTATAATACTATTTCTGGATTTTTAAAAAATATTTATGGAGTGACTGTTATGGTCTAGACACTGTTCTGGGCACTGGAGTTTCAATAGAGACCAAAACAAGCGTCCCCCTTTCCTAGCACTTCCATACCAGAGTGGGGCTGGACACAGATAACTAAATAAATTATATCATTCTTTAGATGGTAATAAGTGCTGAGAAGAAGAGGATGGCAGGAATGAGGTGACAAGGGAGCTGCAGAAATGGACTTTCATATTTAAACAGGGTAGTCAAAGAAGACCTCCCTAGATCATGTTTGAGCAAAAACCTGAAAGGAGCCTAGTGGGGAATAAGATTTCAAGCAGTGGAACAAACATGTGCAAAGGCCCTGAGGCAGGATGCCTGGTGCACCTGCGGATCAGTAAGGAGACCTGTGTGGCCAAAGCAGAGTGGACATGGGGGAGAGTGATAGGA